CGCCCCCTCAGATGGGGTCTGGAAGTAGGTCTGACCTGGCCTCCTTTCTTCCTCTTCTACCTTCTAGCTTTTTGCTGCTCAGCTTGTAAGATGCTCAATTTCCTCTGGTTTGTCCTGAAATGGAGCTGGCGAAGGGATAAAGAAAAGTGACCTTTATCTCCTTCCCGCCAATGGTTCAGCCTCAGAGAGGAGTGATTAGATGTTTCTTCTCTATTGTGTGTCCAGCCACACAATTTTTACAGAGCAGTAGCCCCAAACATCTGTCCTTGCTTGTTTGGGAAATGGTACTTCATTCAATTTGCAAGCATTCAAAGAGCTTTTCTTTTCTAATCAAACTGCTGCAAACTACCATTTAGCTAAAGCTTTGCATCTATTTTCAATTATATTTTTAGGAGAACATTCTAAAAGAGTAAGTTCTGGCTTAAAGGTTATATGCCTTTTTATTTCTTTATTTCGTTTTAATGAGAACAATTTTACTTTTTTTTTAAAATTGTGTGTGTACACAGTAGGTGTATATGTTTATGGGGTACATGAGATGTTTTAACACAGGCATGCAATGTGAAATAAGCACAGTGTGGAGAATGGGGCATCCATCTCCCAAGCATTTATTCCTTGAGTTATTAACAGTCTAATTATACTCTTTAAGTTATTTTAAAATGTACAATTAAGCTATTATTGACTACAGTCACCCTACTGCGCTCTCTAATAGTAGATCTTATTCATTCTTTCTAACTATTTTTTTGCACCTATTAACCAACCCCAACTCATTTCCAGCCCCCACTCCCCTTCCCAGCCTCTGGTAACAATCCTGCTACTCTCTAGTCCATGAATTTAATTGCTCCAATTTTTAGATCCCACAAATAAGTGAGAACATGTGGTATTTGTCTTTCTGTGCCTGGCTTATTTCATTTAACATAACGATCTTCAGTTCCATCTATGTCATTGCAAATGACTGCATCTCATTCTTTTTTGTGGCTGAATAGTACTCCATTGTGTATATGTACCACATTTTCTTTATCCATTCTTCTGTCAGTGGACACTTAGTTTGCTTCCAAATCTTAGCTATTGTAAACAGTGCTGTAACAAACATAGTAGTGCAGATATCTCACCAATATACTGATATTCTTTCTTTTGAGTATATACCCAGCAGTAGGATTGCTGGATCATAATGGTAGCTCAACTTTTAGTTTTCTGAGGAACTTCCAAATTGTTCTTCATAGTAGTTGTACAAATTTACATTTCCATTAAGAGTATACAGGGATTCCTTTTCTCCACATCCTCACCAGCATTTGTTACTGCCTATCTTTTGGATAAAAGCCGTTTTAGCTGATATCTCATTGCTATCAATGATGATATTTTGTTGTAGTTTTGATTTGCATTTATCTAATGATCAATTATATTGAGCAGCTTTTCTATTTATTTATTTATTTTATTTTATTTGTGAGATGGAATTTTGCTCTTGTTGCTCAGGCTGGAGTACAATGGCATGATCTCAGCTCACCGCAACCTCTGCCTCCCGTGTTCAAATGATTCTCCTGCCTCAGCCTCCTGAGTAGCTGGGATTACAGGCATGCACTAATCATGCCCAGCTAATTTTTTTTGTATTTTTAGTAGAGACAGGGTTTCTCCATGTTGGTCAGGCTGGTCTCGAACTCCCAACCTCAGGTAATCCACCCACCTTGGCCTCCCAAAGTGCTGGGATTACAGGCATGTACCCAGCCTTGAGCAGTTTTTCATATGCCTCTTTGCCATTTGTATGTCTTCTTTTAAGAAATGTCTATTCAAATATTTTGTCCATCTTTTGATCAGATTATTAGATTCTTTTCCTATAGGGTTGTTTGAGTTCCTTGTATATTCTGGTTATTAACCCCTTGCAGATGGGTGGTTATATACCTTTTTTTTTTTTTTTTTTTTTTTTGAGATAGACTTTCACTCTGTTACCCAGGCTGGAGTGCAGTGGCACGATCTTGATTCACTGCAACCTCCGTCTCCTGGGTTCAAGCAATTTTTTGTATTTTTAGTAGAGACGGGGTTCACCATATTGGCCAGGCTTGTCTCAGACTCCTGACCTCAAGTGATCTGCCCACCTCAGCTTCCCAAAGTGCTGGGATTATAGGCATGAGCCACCGCGCCCAGCTGTTATATGCATTTTTAAGTCTGGTGAATACATACTGTCAAATTGCCTTCCATGAAAATTGCACCAAATTACATTCCCACCAGTGGTGTACAATAATGCCTCCCAACACCAGGGATAATCATGTTTTTGGTAGGCAATTTGTGGTATCTCATTTCATTAATGTGCATTTCCCTAACCCATATGTTTTTAGGTGATAGATAAAAAGTGGTATCTCGTTGTTGCATTAATTTGCATTTTTCTAAAGCTTATTTCCTTTAAAAAGTAATAATTTCAAAGTACATTTTTCTTTTTAGTAAACCAATAGAATTTTTAAATTTTCCTCTATTAATTCTGAGATCACCTGAGACAAGGAGACACCAGAGTTTTTAGTCACATCTCACAACCACACACTACAGGCAGTGGAGCTGAAAAGAAAGTGCTCATCTAAGCAACCTTACTGTTTTACAGATTTAAAAAAATAAGGCTGGGCGCGCGGTAGCTCACACCTGTAATCCCAGTACTTTGGGAGGCCAAGGTGGGCGGATCACCCGAGGTTGGGAGTTCGAGACCAGCCTGGCCAACATGAAGAAACCCTGTCTCTACTAGAAAATGCAAAATTAGCCAGGCGTGGTGGTGCATACCTGTAATCCCAGCTACTCGGGAGGCTGAGCCAGGAGAATCACTTGAACCTAGCAGGCAAAGGTTGCGGTGAGCCGAGAACGTGCCATTGCACTCCAGCCTGGGCAAAAAGAGTGAAAGTCTGTCTCAGAGAAATAATAATAACATAAAAGTAAAAAAAAAAAAAAACTAGGTCAGGCGTGGTGGCATACGCCTGTAATCCCAGAAATCTGGGAGGCCAAGGCGGGCAGATGATGAGGTCAAGAGATAAAGACCATCCTGACCAACATGGTGAAACCCTGTCTCCACTAAAAATACAAAAATTTGCTGGGCGTGGTGGTGCATGCCTATAATCCCAGCTACTCAGGAGGCTGAGGCAAGAGAATTGCTTGAACCTCGAAGGCGGAGGTTGCAATCAGCTGAGATTATGCCACTGCATCCAGCCTGGTGACAGAATGAGACTCCGTCTCAATAAATACATAAATAAACAAATAAATAAAAATAAGGCCCAGTGGTTAAAGAAAAATGTGTCTAATGAAAGCTGTGATAGTTTAATCAAACACAAAATGAGGTTATTTTGTAGCTGCAAAAATGTCTGTGTATTTCAATTTAAGCAATATTATGTAGCATATACTGTACTTGGAAAAAGTTACTCAACAAGGTGCAGCAAGAAAACACAAACATAAAACTCCTTTCAAGGACTCTATGTACAGAAGTAAGGGACTAATATCAACAAAGTGCTTGATGAAAAGCAAAGGGTTAACAATGAAAATGTGTAGAATGAAACTAAATTAATGAGGACAGTTGATGACATAGTCGAATTTATAGAAACTTGTCAGCACATAATGGAAAATAATTTTTTTTTTTTTGGAGACAGAGTCTCACTCCGTTGCCCAGGTTGAAGTGCCATGGTGCGATTGCGGCTCACTGCAGCCTCTGCCTACCGGGTTCAAGGGATTCTTTTGCCTCAGCCTCCCGAATAGCTGGGATTACAGGTATGCGCCACCATGCCCAGCTAATTTTATATATTTAGTAGAGACAAGGTTTCACCATGTTAGCCAGGCTGATCTCGAACTCAGGACCTCAGGTGATCCACCCGCCTCAGCCTCCCGAAGTGCTAGGATTATAGGTGTGAGTCACAGTACCCAGCAGGAAAATAATTTGTTAAAACTATTTTAGGGGTGAGGTTTTTAAAATATTATTCTGGTGGGGAAAAAAACTTCACATATGACCACAGTTGTATGTACCTCCCATTAATTTGAATGTGGTTGTACAACAGCAGTTTCAGAAGATTGTGCTATCAGATGCCTCTATGTGGAGAAAGAATAGTCTATTCAATCAACAGGCACTCACTTATTCTAAACCTGGTGCTATGAAGGATCTGCTAAGATCAAAGACAAGGTCTTTCTGTCCTGGAAGAGTTTATCCTAATGGATGAGAAAGACAAAGAAATAACATGAAACAGTGTGATAAGAACTATGATCATCCCATCTGAACCATTGTTGATCAGTCCCTGGGAGTTGTCAGCTCCAGGAAAGCTAGAAACAGGACAGACTGAGGTCAGACGCCAGAGACAGTAGGACCAAGATGCCAAAGGCTTGCCCAGAAGCACAGCACTGGTGCGGTGCTGAGATCAGAAGTGGAGCCAGGGCAAGCCTAGGGGACACATCTAAAGTCAGAAATGGCAGGGGATGGGGAAGAGTCAGGGCAAGGAGATGGGAAGCCTAAAGCAGGAGACCAGCGAGAGTCTGTGGGAAGAACATTCTGTTGTGTGGGGACTTTCTCAAGGCCCTATTGGCCAATCACAGGAAACAATCCACTGCTGACTTAAAGGCTATACTCTCCGACCAAGTATATAACTGTAGGGGTGGTATAAAGTGGTCGGGGAGTCATCAACCTGAATTTTTGAGGCTTCAAAGAAGCAGTAGTGGAGAATGTGGTCTGGTCTGTTTGAAGGGTGGAGGACAGAAAGGAAATGGTGCAGGATGAGGCTGATAAATCGGTACCAAGAACCAACATTCATTGAGCACTTTCTCTGGGACAGGCCAAGTGTGAAGGGCTTCACACTCATGACCTTATTTAAGCCCCACAACAACCTTGTAGGATAAACTCTATTATTAGCCGTACTTCACAGATTAAGAAATGAAGAAACTGCAGATTCGAGGGTTTGCATGATTTCTCTAAGGTTTCACACTATAATGTGGGTTCTAACTCTAGAACTCTATTATTAACTACTAAATATGCTCTGTGGGGCGTGACTATAAAGAGGCTTTCTCAGACTAAAGGTTGTGCACTTTCTCTTTTAGGCATGGTGATGCCTGTTTGGAGGTATGGCTTAAAGTCATCAGCATAAACTTTAGAGCCTTTGGATCTGGGTTCAAATCACTATGACCTGGTGAGACTCCTTGTTCAAGGTAATTTTCTTAGGCATCATTTTCCTGTTCTGAATTAAGAATGATCACAATGTCTTTTTGCTGGAATGTTGTGAGACTTAAATATGACAATGTACATGAAAGCATCGGTTGACTACAAAGCTAAACGTAAATATTAACTGTTATGCGTTCTGCTGTATTTTATATAAACCCCCAAGGCAGCCATGAAGCACAGTGATATGAGAGCCATCTGTAGACTATTTTAATGATCCAGATGAAGGATGATGACAAGGGCCTACGCCAAGGCAGTGGCAGTGAGGGTGGAGAGAAAGGACATATTTAAAGGATATTTAGGACGCTTTACAAAACAGAACCTAATGACAGATTGGATACAGAGAGGGAGAGGAAAGGGGGTCAGAATGATTCAGAGTTTTATGTTGAGTAATCGGGTGAATGGTGATGTCATTAATTAAGGAAGAAGAGTAGGCAGCATAATATGTTCTATTTCAGGAATATTGTGATGAGGTGTCTATGAGACATCCAGTAAGCGGACATGTGAAATGTGAGTGGGACTATGAGGGGGGTGCTCAGAAAAGAGATGTGCCATAGATTCAGATTTGGACATCACTGGGTATTTGTGAGACTAAAACTCTGACAATAGATGTGATGTCCAGCTAAGATGTAAAGCAATGGTTTGTACCCCTTTAAAGTCAAGGAACCTTTCCACTCACACACAAAAATAAATGCTTATGCTAAAACCCAGTTTGCAAAACAGCTCAAAATGAAGCTTTTCTGGTTAAATCCAGAGTGAATTGCCTGGAGCCCACTTCTTGAGACAGCCTCTGAACAGGTTTAACTGAGCCCAGTTTGAGAACCGCCTACATGGAAAAGAGAAGAGGGTGAGTTATAACCACTAAACGGAATCTGAAAGAAAGCAGCTTATGCAAAATCAGACTGGAATTTTCATTTTAGATTTTTTGTGAAAAGCTTTTTTGAAACTTTAATGATTTTGGAAGCTTCACCCAGTTATTTGCAGTACTAATACTCCTTCTGGCCTGCTCTTACAGATGTTTGACCCTGTGTTTCATCATCTATGTGTGCCCAACAGAAGCCGCAGGGCCATTCAAATAAAGAGAGTTGGCTGAGTTTCCAAGTCTGTCTTTCCAAGTTCATGCACATTAGTTTTCCTTCTTATCAGCAGAGGCTTGTCTTGTACACATCCTCTGGGTCATTCGCGCTGAGATCACCATGTTAGTCCTAATTACCTTGATTCTTATGTGATCTCTAAACCAGATAAATGCCCATCCACCCAAGCAGTTGTTTAATAAAAGTTATCTTAAATATTTAACTTGTAAATGTTTTAAGAAGTCGAATTGGCGAAACCTTTTCTCCGAATTAAATCAATTGAGTCTGCTTATTATTTCAACACCATCAAGGGTTTAATCCTAAATCCACTAAGGGTATTTTGATTTGGTTATTAAATCAAAACACCTAATCATATGATAAGGAAAGATAACAGGAGCAAGAAAAAGAGGAGAGCAGAGGGAGGCCAAAAGAAAGAAGCAAGGACACCGGGTGATTATATTAAGAGCTACTTTAAAAACAAAAACAATAGCACTCTAACATATCAGTGATCTAACACAATAAAAATTTATCTCTCACTCAAAGTTCAGCGTTGTGGATATTTACAATTGGCGTGTGATGGTTCATTTTGTGACTTGGATACGCTTTTAGAGCCTCTACTTCTTTGCCTGGATCCTTTGCCACTTAGCGAGTGGATTGTGGATGAGAAGACTGCATGGGAGAGGTTTCTATGGGCCAGGCTGAAGGTGAGCGCATCACTTCTTTGCACGTTCCCTCGGCCAGAATGAGCCACAGAGCCAGGCTTATCTGCAAGGGGGGTTGAGAAGTATCATCTAGCCTTGTCCCCAGAGCTAAACGGAAGTGGAGAAAGTGAGCAGCGGCTGGTCTTTGGTACAGATGAAATAAAAAGTGCCCATGCACAGGTTTTGTAAAAATTAGGAAAAATGAATCCCTGGTACATAAAAATTTTCAGCCTGGGATTCTTCTTATACGGAAATCTTAGTCCGAAGGTCTGAGAGAGGCGCATATTGAATACTCCCAACCCTGTCACAGATATCAGTTAATTCCTAGATGGGGGGAATTACTATGTTTTTCAGAGGTACCAAAGAAAATGTTCATCAATTTTATAGATAAGATCTAATTCTTAAAACATTAAGTATTTTATTTCAAATAATGAAATAAAATATATTTGTATTTGTTGCAGCTGAGCATTATTATATAAACTTTTCCTTTACAAACTTCTCATAAAAACTTGTTCACATTCTTACCCCAAAAAAAGTTTTCAAAAAGCTAAACACTTACCCACTGAGTCATAGAATAATTGGAATTTTGACAGGAAGATAACTGTAAAGCAGTTCTTTAAAGAGGAGCAGCACTCTGCTTTATTTAAACTCCACAAAGTAGGTAAGCGTTTTATGGGTCGTGGATTTTCTAATTCAAGGTGTTATGCAATATGCAGCTGGGCTTTGAATGGCTTCCTCCTTTGTTCTTCTTGCACGCACATGCCATTTGGTGACATCCTGAGGTCTGGGAGGCTATTGGATTAGACCTTCTGCAAAGGAAAGGTTATTCTACACCATGTATAAGAAAAAGCTTTGATGATTCACAAAATTAAAGCTTTTTACTTCCCAGCGGGGGAGATTTCCCAGCCAATATGTTGAAAGGAAAGTGGCTGTATTAAAACTTGCTCCCTGATAGAACCAGAGATCCCAGCTGGCTTTCGCAGGAGGGACACAGCATTATGATGATGTTGATTAGACAACTTTTAAACAGCGCCAGTAGACAAAGGCATTTTCAGCTTCCAAAAAAGAAATGGAATGAGTGCCAAGTCTGCATCTGATGGAGAGTATAAGGCTTGTTCCAGCAAATGTTTTCTCATTATAGAGTAATGCTTGAAGAAGCACACATCAGTTTCATGCCCCTTCATGATTTGTCCTGTACCACTGGTTCAACCCATTGAGGGATGTCTGATAAGAAAAACTTTGCCTGAAAAAAAATTTTTGCGTTAGAAAACACAGGTTAATTGCATTTGACTTGGCTGCGAGTAACAGTAGGGTCTTCCATCTCTTTCTTGTCACCTTTTTAATTGCACTCAGTGTTTTTGCTGCTTCTGCTTGAAGAGAGCACTGAAACAGTGTGTACTGGTGTGTAATCGGCATCAGACTTGATTACTTAGTAATCTATAAAGAGCTTGAAACTCAATAAAAGAAGTTCTCAGTAGACGTTTCCTTTTGGGGGCATATCAAAAGAAAGTTGTCTTTTTCTTTTCTTCCCCATTTTATACAGATTTTTTAATGCCAGAATTCTATCCTTAATGTATTTCGATCTTTAATCATTCTGATTAGACAGCCATTGCAAAAATATCCATAAAACAAGCAGTTCTCCAATTGTGCCTGGAGCATGGTATTTTACAGAGTATGTTATGTAGAACACCATGGTTCCTGAGGTAATTATAGGTGCTATGTGAATGCAGGATGTATTCATTAATAACAGAATTAATTATTCCAGAATTTATTATATGACTCACATATAATAGAAAAGTCACCCCGTTTCGATTCTCTTTGAATCATTTTGTCAAGGAGAAAGTTTCAACTTAATGACATTTTTCCAAGTACTTCTTTTTAATGAGACAAGTTTCAGGCTGAGTGTCATCAGCAGACAATTTTATCTACCTAGAACTTAGTTACATTTTATTCTCCTTACTTTTATTTTCATTTTTCATCTATGTATAGCAGTTGAAACAGATTGCCCAGTTATCAAATGATATAGTTTTCTTTTAAAATAGTTGTAATGCCTAAAAGGGAGTCAATATAAAGGAAAATATCAAATGATAAGAGTAAGTGGTTTATAGAACTCAACAATTAAGCTATCAGATCCTGGACTTTTATTTGATGAGAGACTTTTTTTATTACTGTTTCAATCTCCTTACTGGTTATTGATCTGATCTGTTCATATAGTCTCTATTTTTTTTTTTTTTTTTTTTGACATGGAGTTTCACTCTTGTTGCCCAGGCTGGAGTGTAATGGTGCAGTCTCAGCTCACTGCAACCTCCGCCTCCTGGGTTCAAACGATTCTCCTGCCTCAGCCTCCTGAGTAGCTGGGATTGCAGGCATGCTCCATCATGCCCAGCTAATTTTGTGTTTTTAGATGAGACTGGGTTTCACCATGTTGGTCAGGCTGGTCTTGAACTCCTGACCTCAGATGATCTACCCACCTCAGCCTCCCAAAGTGCTGGGATTACAGACATGAGCCATCGTACCCAGCCATATGTTTTATTTCTTCATGATTCAGTCTTGGTAGGTTATATGTGTTGAGGAATTAATCCATTTCTTCTAGCTTATCCAATTGTTGGCATACAATTTGTTCAGAGAAATCTCTTTTTTTTTTTCTTGTGGGTTTTTTTTTTTTATGCTTTAAGTTCTAGGGTACATGTGCAAAACATGCAGGTTTGTTACATATGTACGCATGTGCCATGTTGGTGTGCTGCACCCATTAACTCTTCATTTACATTAGGTATATCTCCTAATGCTATCCTACCCCCCTTCCCCCACCCCACAACAGGCCCCAGTGTGTGATGTTCCCCACCCTGTGTCCAAGTGTTCTTATTGTTCAATTCTCACCTATGAGTGAGAACATGCAGTGCTTCGTTTTCTGTCCTTGCGATAGTTTGCTCAGAATGATGGTTTCCAGTTTCATCCATGTCCCTACAAAAGACATGAACTCATCCTTTTTAATGGCTGCATAGTATTCCATGGTGTATATGTGCCACATTTTCTTAATCCAGTCTATCGTTGATGGACATTTGAGTTGGTTTCAAGTCTTTGCTAATGTAAATAGTGCCACAGTAAACATACATGTGCATGTGTCTTCGTAGCTGCATGATTTATAATCCTTTGGGTATATACCCAGTAATGGGATTGCTGGGTCAAATGATATTTCTTGTTCTAGATGCTTGAGGAATTGCCACACTGTCTTCCACAATGGTTGAACTAGTTTACAGTCCCACCAACAGTGTAAAAGTGTTCCTATTTCTCCACATCCTCTCCAGCACCTGTGGTTTCCTGACTTTTTAATGATTGCCATTCTAACTGGCACGAGATGGTATCTCCTTGTGGTTTTGATTTGCATTTCTCTGATGGCCAGTGATGATGAATATTTTTTCATGTGTCTGTTGGCTGCATAAATTTCTTCTTTTGAGAAGTGTCTGTTGATATCCTTCACCCACTTTTTGATGGAGTTGTTTGCTTTTTTCTTGTAAATTTGTTTAAGTTCTTTGTAGGTTCTAGATATTAGCCCTTTGTCAGATGGGTAGATTGTAAAAATTTTCTCCCATTCTGTAGGTTGCCTGTTCATGCTGATGATAGTTTCTTTTGCTGTGCAGAAGCTCTTTAATTTAGTTAGATCTCATTAGTCTATTTTGGCTTTTGTTGCCATTGCTTTTGGTGTTTTAGTCATGAAGTCCTTGCCCATGCCTATGTCCTGAATGGTATTGCCTAGGTTTTCTTCTAGGGTTTTTATGGTTTTAGATCTAACATTTAAGTCTTTACTCCATCTTGAATTAATTTTTGTGTAAGGTGTAAGGAAGGGATCCAGTTTCAGCTTTCTACATATGGCTAGCCAGTTTTCCCAACACCATTTATTAAATAGGGAATCCTTTCCCCATTTCTTGTTTTTGTCAGGTTTGTCAAAGATCAGATGGTTGTAGATGTGTGGTATTATTTCTGAGGGCTCTGTTCTGTTCCATTGGTCTATAGCTCTGTTTTGGTAACAGTACCATGCTGTTTTGGTTACTGTAGCCTTGTAGTATAGGTTGAAGTCAGGTAGCATGATGCCTCCAGCTTTCTTCTTTTGGCTTAGGATTGTCTTGGCAATGCGGGCTCTTTTTTGGTTCCATATGAACTTTAAAGTAGTTTTTTCCAATTCTGTGAAGAAAGTCGTTGGTAGCTTGATGGGGCTGGCATTGAATCTGTAAATTACCTTGGGCAGGATGGTCATTTTCATGATATTGATTCTTCCTATCCATGAGCATGGAATGTTCTTCCATTCGTGTGTGTCCTCTTTTATTTCATTGAGCAGTGGTTTGTAGCTCTCCTTGAAGAGATCCTTCACATCCCTTGTAAGTTGGATTCCTAGGTATTTTATTCTCTTTGAAGCAATTGTGAATGGAAGTTCACTCATTATTTGGCTCTCTGTTTGTCTGTTATTGGTGTAGAGGAATGCTTGTGATTTTTGCACATTGAATTTGTGTCCTGAGACTTTGCTGAAGTTGCTTATCAGCTTAAGAAGCTTTTGGGGTTTTCTAACTATATAATCATGTCATCTGCAAACAGGGACAATTTGACTTCCTCTTTTCCTAATTGAATACCCTTTATTTCTTTCTTTTGCCTGATTGCCCTGGCCAGAACTTCCAACACTATGTTGAATAGGAGTGGTGAGAGAGGGCATCCCTGTCTTGTGCCAGTTTTCAAAGGGAATGCTTCCAGTTTTTGCCCATTCAGTATGATATTGGCTGTGGGTCTGTCATAAATAGCTCTTATTATTTTGAGATACGTTCCATCAGTACCTAGTTTATTGAGAGTTTTTAGCGTGAAGGGCTGTTGAATTTTCTCAAAGGCCTTTTCTGCATCTATTGAGATAATCATGAGGTTTTTGTCTTTGGTTCTGTTTATATGATGGATTACATTTATTGATTTGCATGTGTTGAACCAGCCTAGCATCCCAAGGATGAAGCCAGCTTGATCATGGTGGATAAGCTTTTTGATGTGCTGCTAGATTCAGTTTGCCAGTATTTTATTGAGGATTTTCACATCAATGATCATCAAGAATATTGGTCTAACATTCTCTTTTTTTGTTGTGTCTCTGCCAGGCTTTGGTATCAGGATGATGCTGGCCTCATAAAATGGTTTAGGGAAGATTCCCTATTTTTCTATTCATTGGAATAGTTTCGGAAGGAATGGTACCAGCTCCTCTTTCTACCTCTGTTAGAATTCAGCTGTGAATCCATCTGGTCCTGGACTTTTTTTGGTTGGTAGGCTATTAATTATTGCCTCAATTTCAGAGCCTGTTATTGGTCTATTCAGGGATTCAACTTCTTCCTGGTTTAGTCTTGGAGAGTGTCTGTGTCCAGGAATTTATCCATTTCTTCTAGATTTTCTAGTTCATTTGTATAGAGGTGTTTATAGTATTCTCCGATGGTATTTTGTCTTTCTGTGGGATTGGTGGTGGTATCCCCTTTATCATTTTTTATTGTGTCTAGTTGATTCTTCTCTCTTTTATTCATTAGTCTTGCTAGCGGTCTATCAATTTTGTTGATCTTTTCAAAAAAACAGCTCCTGGATTCATTGATTTTTTTGAAGGTTTTTTTGTGTCTCTGTCTCC